GGAGACAAGAGGGTTCAGCTTATAGAGCTGATCCGCTCGATAAACGACAAGTGGCCCCAGCCTTCGTGCGTTTGGGATTGGCTAGACCGTGAGCTCCGAGCAGGCCCCGAGTACGTGACTTGCATCGGGCGGCTCTTCTCAGACGACTGGGGGAGCTGGTGGAGTGAGGACGCCGGGCGACCTCTGATATACGGCCATCAGTTGACGGAATACTACCAGGCCATAGGACAGGCGCCATACCGCGTCGAGGACGAGTTTGACGACGAGGGTTGGGAGCGAGAGGACGACGAGGAGCTGTGGGAGCCAGACTGGGTCGGCCCAGAGAGTGAGGTTGACGAGGAGGAGATTGACGTTACAGACGCCCATTTTCCCAGGATAGGAGTGGCGGTCCGGGCGTAGGAGGTAGAGGAGCGCACCAGGGCGACGGATGAGTGAGCCTGGCTACTGAACCTATTCGACCATACTGGACCTGAGTGCGAGAGTTGTCAGAAGGGTTAGCAACGTCGAGAGATGGGATGTATCGGTGGGAGTAGAGTGATGCTGACCGAGAGTAGGAGAAGAAATGAGGAGTGATTCAGCGGCCTGGTTAGCTTATGTTTCCTCACGAGAGTCCGAATCGTATAGTGTGAGGAAGTTTGTGGGACCCAGAGAGACGGCGATTGGATACGACATACCACTTCCCATGGCGTTAGAAGAGGCAGGGCGTGTACCGATACGATACTTGGGAACGTGGCTCGCTGAGGAACTTTTCCTATGGACAGTGATATTACGAGACGAACGACCCGAGAGGACTCATGATCTAGAAGGTGTCGGACATCTAATAACGGAAAGAACACACAATTTAGAGATAGGGTTAACGCTCGCAGGGGCGAGCAGGAGTTGGTGGAGAACCGAGTTGTTGGCCAGAGTGATCGTTAATCAGCAATTGGCGAGACTCTCTGGAGGGAGGACGAGTAGAGGCTGCTTGGTATACGGTCCACCACATCCGACCCTCTACCCGAGAAAGGATTGGCGATTCGGAGTTCCTACCTTCGTGATAGGGCAGACCTATGGGAGCGTGGATCGTTTGAGGAGAGCAGTGGATCACACATTTTACGCGCTCTGGAAGGGCTTAGCGCCCCGCTTCAAGGAAGTATACTACGTCATTTGTGTGAGGTGGGGGCCGCCCAGTAGAGAGACGTTTGACGACATCATAGATGTTACGAGCTGGGTGGACTATCTGAGGCCTATCGATCTGATTAGGTACTGCAGGAGACGGGCAGAGATCGATTACGCGGGGCTAGAGGACGCGAGATTTCTCTTCGAGGTCGCAGCTTAGGGAATGCCGGGAAGGACGGCCACGGTGATGCGTGTAGAAGAGCAACTGGTAAGCACAGGATACACTGTGACAGTACTTCTCCGAGCGTACGTAGACGAGGACTTGACGGCGAGTGAGTGCAGACAACGAGCTAGGGATTTGATCCACGACCGTAGAGCTGATGTACTGGCGCAAGTGACCTTCCAGACCTCGATTTCCTATGATGTGATGATATGGTCTCATGGTTATATGCGCGCGGAGCACTACCACGATGAGACGGTAGCGGAGGCTAGAGCGAGCGTGAGAAGGTGAGCTGGAGAAAGATGTGAACTGAGTATGGAAGAGGAGAGTGAGGCAGTCGGAAGAGTGAGAAAGCGCGTTAAAGAACCACTCTTGAACCAGGTAAAGAAGTTGGGGGACAAGTTAAGGGAGATCTGGWCGTGTCAAGACGAGGGCAAGTTGCGAAGAGTTGAACTCGTGACGAGAGAGTTAGAGAGTCTGTTCAGGGAAGAAAGAGAGATTATCCAGGCGTGGAGATCAGACTTTCTGGAAAGGGTAAAGGCTAGAAGCGTGTCACGCGAAGAAACTAGTAAACGATCTGTCGAGAGCGAGACAACGGAAGACAAAGTAACGCAGGGGAGTAGCGACAGGACATGAGCGGGACTGCACTACACACGACGGATTGGTACTCATTACATGTGGTAGGGAGACTTGACGGACCATTAGTGTTAGTGATCATAGAACTCCAGCTCCATACCAGACTGTGCATAGTTGAGGAGGCAGAGTGTTTCCGTCGTGCCCTGCGTGAGGCAAGGGGGACAGGACTTTGGATTGGAATAGAAGGAGGACGGAGGATAAAATACATACTCCGAGTAACACCCTTCGAAGGGCGGTCTCGGATAAGGGCATGGTACGAGACGACCAGAGAGGCTGAGAGGTTGAAGATAAGCGAAGCCAGGAAAGCTGGAGAGATAGGGAGGGTTGTAACAGATGGTGCAATACTCAGGGTGTTAGCCGCTCACAACAGGTACTGGAAGGAAACGATAAAGACTTTAGAGGCGATAGACGAAAGAGGAGATAATGAGGACTTTGAGACATTTTATGACATATTGGAGCAGTCGGCGATGAGGTTACAAGTCGTTATAGCACTAACTTACCTCAGCTGTTAAACAGATGACCTCGTAACCGTTGAGGAGGAAAGGTAGTGGAAATAGGAATTGGAAGCTCTTGGAAGGATAAAGGAAGCTAGAAAGGTCGATGGGCGACATTGGGCAACAGTAGGAGGGCCTTTAGCGGGCTAACCGATTCAGACAGGGCTAGAAGAACTAGCAAGGACGGAGCGAGACGCTCGAGAACTCTTGAGGAGCGTTGATCAGGAGACATTGGCTAGGTTTGGGATTGCAATCTCTCTCAAGAATAGAGGTCCTGTCGCGGGCGTACTGTGGATCCGGACAGGCACTACCTTGTTGACCGATCACGAAGGAGAGGATACTTAGACACAGGGATTCTCGGAACGGGGTACTGGGGGTGGTAATCAAGGCAGTTGAGAGCTAAGATTGGAGGCGGACGCGAGTCGTGACAAAGAAACGGGTCCCGGCTGCCGCGACTGTCACAGGTCCGGGCAGCAGCGACTGTCATAGGGTCGGGCTGTAACAGTTGGCTAGAATACCTGACTGCATCTTCAGGCGGTCCAATGGAACCCGACACGATGGGCCTACTACCGACCACGGGCGAAGTGGAAGAGGAGTACAGGGCATCGCCCGATCGAGCACTGAGGGATCTGAAGGAGCGAATTAGGCAAGAAGCACCGTTGAGATGGGTTGACCAAACCAATGATGGAGGGCCCGACATGAGAGGCGAACCAATTGCGACAGAGCCGCAGGAGGCTCTAAAGACGGGTACCTCGAGCGGGCGACGAGAAGCGACGAGGCGCCGCTCCCCCGAGTACGAGCGGAGGGACACCATAGCGGACAGGTACAGAGACAACTAGAGAGAGAATTTGAGGGATTCCTATTGGAGGGACAGAGATAGAGACAGGGCGCCGCCCAGGCTAGTCTTCGACCCCCAGACAGGGGAGTCACATCCGCTCCCTTACGAGAGCAAGGACCGCTATATTATTACGCACAAGGTCTCAGAGCCTCCTACCTTCAGGGGCTATGGTATCACAGAATATCTGGAGAAGTGGGAGCTTCACGCCAGCCGGAGTCAGTGGTCGGAGGAAGAGATTATAGAGAACTTCCTATTTAATGTGGACCCAAGTCTCGGTAGG